TATATATATATATATATATATATATATATATATATATATATATATATGAATGTTTCTGTTCGGTGCTCTGAAACGACTTTGTTGTGACTCGAAGCTATTTCAATAAACTGAAATGAACTGATTTATAATTCTGAAATGTGGCGAGGCATTATGCATTATTCAAGGAAAGCTAGGTGTTACTGATGAATGCATTGATGTTTCAGGTGGGCCCGAGGCATGGGAAGAGAGGACGACCTCCTAAGAGACCAGCAGAGTTTAAAGAGGAGGAACAGTTGGTGTCTGACTCTGTAGCAGAGGCTGACATTGTGGAGAACACAACAACAGAACATCTCACCACCGAGGAGGCTGCGAAGAAACAAACTCCCCCAGAGAGCGCTGTGGATGGAGAACACACGTGTTCTGAGTGTGGCGTGTCCTTCGATAGACGCTACTCTCTCATCATGCACACACTAAAACACGAGAAATCTCGTGGATACAAGTGCAGTGTGAGTGTTGGTTAGTGTTAAACCATGCAGTAGTTGGAGGTTCTTGTGTTCTCACTGTCATGTTTTTGTGTTGTAGCTCTGCAGCAAGGAGTTCCAATACGCTGCGTCGCTTCAAGCCCACCTGGCTCGACATAGGCAGAAGAGCAGCCGGAGAGCTTCTATCTCTAAAGTCTCTGCTGAACTCAGCTCGGACAGCAAAGCAGAAGACGACCCAGACTCGGCCTTGTCGCAGGTCAAAAGGGAGTTTGTGTGCGACATCTGCGGGAAGGTTTTACCAAAGCTGTACTCGCTGAGGATCCACATGCTGAGCCACACCGGGGTGCGGCCTCACTCCTGCAAGGTGTGCGGAAAAACATTCACCCATAAACACAGCCTGAAGATGCACCGCGCACTGCACGACATCACCAAGCAGTTCCAGTGCAAGTTCTGTAAGAAGTCGTTTGTGAGCAAGAGGAGCATGGAGGAGCACACCAGCCTGCACACGGGTCAGTACACGCTCGCTCACTTCCTTTTGTCCTGGTATTTTAAAGTAACCTGCTACATGTTCTCTAAAACATATCCTTAGGTGAATCAAAGTATCTCTGCAACACGTGTGGTGCCACCTTTTATCGAGCCTCCGCTTTGAGCAAACACCTGAAGAAGCACCAACCCAAACCTGAAGTCCGCCCGTTCGCCTGTTCTCAGTGAGTAGCTCCTCGTGCTCACATGTTCAGGGTTTCCAAGGACTCTGGAAATCAGAGAAAATCTGGAAAATTACTTTCACATTTTCCACACAGAAAAAACTCAGGGAATGTGGACACTGATCTTGATGATCATTTTGAGATTTTAATGTGTACATGTATTATTAATGCTAGTATTCTAGTATCAGTGAGTCCATGTTCTGCTTCTACAGACATACACATAGTTCATGTACTACTGATTGGCTATGGTGGCTTTTTAGTATTTGATGTTACATAGCACAATTATTAGGAGTAATTGCCTTATGTACGTATCCTTTGTCCTCTTAAGACACTTAAGTTCTGAGTGTTTCATGTGACTGAAATATCTTCTGTAATTTAAACATTTACTCAAGGAAAAACTCTAGGAATGTTGTTTTCATGAACTGCTGGGAACCCTACTGTACAAGATTAGCAAGGTTCTGAGTCTCCCCTGTCTCCTGTGTCCTCCAGCTGTGATAAGAGTTTCTATGAAGCAAAGGATCTCCAGCAGCACATGAACAAACACATGGGCCTGAAACCATTCCAGTGCCAGGTGTGTGGGAAGTGCTACAGCTGGAAGAAGGACTGGTACTCCCATGTCAAATCCCACAGCGTGGCCGAGCCCTTCAAGTAAGTCAAAATTAGACCCATTAATGACGGTCTTTACAACGGCTGTCTTTACAACGGTTGTCTTTACGACGGCTGTCTTCACGACGGCTGTCTTTACAACGAATGTCTTTACGACGGCTGTCTTTACAACAA